TAGGAAGCTATTTAAATAATCTAATTAAGAGGAGATTAACTCTACTCTTAATAATAAGAATAATTATATTAATTAATAAATCTATATTCCCTAATATTAGGATCTTTAGATATTAGCTTATAAGAGAGGTAAAAGGCCTCCTTTAAGCCTTATATAAGAAGTTAAGATTAATAATCTAGGGGTATAGCGATTAAGAGAAGACGACTCTATTAATATAATCGCTTATAATTATATAATATAATTAATAATTAATCTTAATAATTATATTAGTATTATAAGAATATAATTAATAATTAATATTCTAGGATATTAATTAAGCTTATACTTAGAATATTATAGATCTATTATATAATATTCTATTATATATCCTTAAAGAGCTATAATATAGATACTTTAATAATATTATTTTCTATATTATTAAGCTATTCTATAGAATTATAGAGTTAGGCTTCTATTAGTTTATAATTTATTAGCGATATTATAGAGAGCGCTTAATAATAATTCTAATAAGCTATAATCTATATCTCTTATTAATTAGAGCTAGAGAGAGCTTTAGATTAATTAGAATATAGATCGATAATACTTTAAACCTTAAAGAGCTTATATTTATAGAAAAGGAGTAAATAGAGCTCTTAAGAGCTAGCTTCTAAGCGAAGCCTACTTCTATCCTAAATACTAGTTTAGAGGGCGTCTTTAATAATTATATTATTAAAATCGGAATTAATAATCTTAAAATTCTATAGAAAAGTTAAAATAATCGACTAGAATAAATAACTTTAAGGATATTAGATTTAGAATAATAATTTATTGCTTAGAGAGCTTATAGAATATATATAGCTTCTATTTATTAATCTAAAATAGCTTTCGATTTCGCTATAACTTCCTAAGCTAAGAACCTAGAGAAGGACGATTTTAAATAGCTTAATAAATATATATAATAGTAAATCGATAATATAGACTATAGCCTAAATTATATATACCTCGATCTATTAATTACTTAATTATATATATTCATTAATAGCTCCTTCGTTAATAATAAAGACTTTAATTCTTAGATTAGATTTATTATCCTCTTTAATAATAAACGTTCTTATAATTAGGAGAATACGTTTATAGTATATAGTAATATTCTTTATTAATAATCTATTAAATATAAATAGGTTATATATTTAGTTCTAATTAGCGAAATCTATAATATAATTAATAGTTTTAATATAATATATATCTTTAAATAAACGTTTTAGAAGATCTATAAATACTTAGATTTATTACTCCTATAAATAATTATCTATATTAATAGCTTCTTATTCTATTAATATTTTATTTAATTAAGCATAATTATAGAGAAATACTTAATAATAGATCTTATAATATTATAATAAAGCTATAAAGAATACGAAGTTAACGAAATTCGCTAAATTATAGGAAAGGATAATCTTATAAATATAATAATTAAAGGAGCGCTAAATTAAGTATTAGAAGCTCTTATAAACTTTAACGAAGTTATAATTAAGATTAAAGGTTAAATTAAATATTAAGAAAAGAATAATTAAAGTATAAATATAATTAAAATAAATAATTCCTTAAAAATAGCTTAATTATTAAAATAATAAAAATAGCTATCTTTTAATTATTAAACTAATAAAGTAACCGATATATTATATAACGATTAGGCCTTAGATTCCGATATCTCGGAATCTAAGTCTAATCGCTCTAGGGAGTCCTACTAGAGGTAATTAAAGAGCTATAGAGCTATAGCCTACTTAGCTACTTTATAGTTAATATTATTAAAATTATTAAAGTTTTTATTAAAATTATTATCCCCTTTTATATCCTCTTCCTTAATAATCTATAATATACTTTTAATAATAATATATTATTTCTCTAGATCTTATAATTATATTATTAATTAATTATATAATTAGATAATTAAGGGAATAGAAAAGAATAGGAATTTATAATTTAATTCTTTTTATTATAAATAGCTAAAAACTTTATAATAGGCTTAAATATATTAATAGGATTAAAGATAATACTTATTAGAGCTATAGATATAGGAAATATAGATCGCGAGAGCTTATATTAGTTTATAAGAATACTTAGAAGTATATTTATAATAACGAGATCCCTTAAGATCGAGATCGTAATATACGCTTAAAGCGCTAATTTTAATTTACTTATTAACGATATAAGACTTAAAATAACCTAGATAGGGAACTTTATAAATATTATTATATATATATACTATATACTAGATTAATAGCTCTTATAATTAATATTAATTCTATTCTTATATTTAGCTATTCTCTTAGCCTTAGGGGGCTTAAGCGTAGGGGTCTTATACTTAGGAGGTATTATTATAGCTAGAATAAGAAGAAAACGAATAAACGGGAATAATAAAAATAAGTATTTATTAATTATATAAGTATTATTTATATATATTAAGCTAGCCTATAAAAGTTAAAGAAGTTAATATAAAGAAAGAGAAAGGTTAATAGAATAGAATTATTAAAACTTATTAATAAGATATATAACGTACTCCACAAGCGAGTGGAACACACAAGCGAGTGATATTATTCTTATTAAATAGTAATTTAATTTATTAAGAATTATTCTAATAGATTCTATAAAAAGCTAATAATTATTTTATTATATTCTATTAATATATTAAGGATTTAGAGGCTTTAAGAGTATATATTTAGTAATTATAAGAGCGCTATTTATTATTAAATTCTAATTTATTTCCTTTATTTCTAGGATTTAGAGGCCTATTCTTATTATTTAAATTATAATTTAGTTTATTTCCTTAAAAAGCTATTTATAGATAATATTATTACTCTAAAGCGCTAGGAATTAGAGGCTTAATATTTATAGGAATAATAAGCTTAAGCTATATTTTCCTTATTTCTAATTATTATTTCCTATTATTTCCTATTATTAAGTTATTTACTTTAAGATTAGAAAAGTAGATCTAATATACTAGAGACTAGAGAATTATAAATATATTAGAGTAGCTATTAACCCTAATAATAGCTCCTAATATTAATCCTTATAGCTATTCTACCTATAAAGAAAAGAAAAGCTAATATTAAATTAATATTAAGGAACTCTATAATTAGGATAGTGATATTTAAGGTATCTAGGATATCTAGTATCCACTGCTCTCAGGAGTACGTAAACTACGGCTTACGTGATCGCTAAGAGTAGATAGGTATATCTAACTTACGTAGGTAGTAGTAACTTAGAGGAGCAGATCAGAATTACGGAGATGGGAATCGACCATCACAAGACGTACGAGGGACCCTACCGAGTTAGAGCTCGGGGGCATAGGGGAACTCCGGGATTAGGGGTCGCATAGGCGAGGAGGGCCATCGCG